TCCAAAATGACAGCACTTTCCACAAATCGCCTGTTCGTAATCGATCAAATCATTTCGTTATCTCGTCGAACCTTCAAATTGATGCCATCCCTAAATAACCTGAACAAACCGAATCTGGTATCACCACCACCGCAACAGTCTGCAACAACCTCAATGAACGTTTGGTGTGTTCGCGATTTTGGTAGCCCTCTAGTCAAGCAAACGATGTCAATTCCTGAAATTAACAATACCGATCAAGTACTGATCAAAGTGAAGGTATATTGTTGAAATGTTCGATCATCGAACTCGTTTCTTCTTGATCGCTTATCATTCCGATTGAAATTCATTGGAGATAATCTCTTTCGCAAGGATAATTTTCAAAGAATACAAATCGTCGGATCGAATTCACGAATTCACTCATCACTATTGTATCATTTCTCAATGTTTGTTCATCTGCATTCCAGCGCATCCAATTGATTCATTTTCGAACAATATTTTCACTGAACAATATTCATTTGTTTTCCTTTCTAAGGCATCAAGTGTGAATCCACTTGACACGGAAATGGTCAACGGCTACGGTCGACGGTTACTGTCAGTTGTGAAACAATTGGAAAGTTGTTCGACAAATGCACAGTCAATGTTACCGTTGATTGCTGGACGTGACTGCAGTGGTGTTGTGGAGTATAAGGGTCAGCAAGTGACGAAATTCGATATCGGTGATGAAGTAAGATAGCNAGCTAATACGGACTAACTTCTAGCATATCATAGCATATTTTCGTTTTCTGAGAAAAAGTCCACTGATGCGAAGAAGAAATTTGCTTGATCATAGCAGTAGTTCACTGTCAGTTAAAATCATGTCAGTGTTGGTCGATAGCATGCAAATTATGATTGCTGCATTTGGAAAGCGAGCGTGACTCTTAGAACGGCTCGACCGAGTTGAGCCAGGTTCAGCTGGCTCAACTGAAGATTGGCTGAAGGAAACGAAACCAATTCAAAGCTGAAATTTAGCCCACTCAAAAGCTTGGCCTAGTGGTCATATGTCGAAATACTTAAATAATGCCTATATAATTTGGTGTATGTCTAAACTGGAAAGTTGCCTCAAGAGACTCGGCAAAAAAAATTCAGGTGATGGGTATTGTGGCACCAACATGGACGGGTGCTCATGCCGAGTACGTGCTCTCCAAAGAGTCGTGGTGTGTCAAGAAACCGAACAATATCAGTCATGTTCAAGCGGCTGCTCTACCTTATGTGGCCTGCACCGTATGGGCCGCTTTAGTGAGTGTGAGTGGATTTGAGAACGTTTCAAGTCGTCATCAGTTTTCCATTGATTCTGATTTCGTATACTGCAATTATTCTGAAAAAAATCGAAAGGAATACATATCGGGACGACAATTATATGCATGAACCGATATTGTTAAGGAACGTACGGAAACATTTCGCTTGAAATTATTTCCTAAAAATAATTTGTTCAGTTATATTCGTAGAACACATACAATGGAAGCGTTCATTCCGTTTTTCATTCTTTTGTAAATAGATTTTTTTATCCACTGAATATGTCCTCT